AGTGTGCAACCATAAAAGTGTTTTATTACTCAATTTATTATTCCAAATAAAAATTGCAGTGGATATATTGAAAAACTAATACCACTTAGATTTTCCCATAAAATTACATATTCAAACCAATTACTTTTAATTTGTATTATACATTAAATTATAATAAAAGCTATTATATACTTTTCTTTAGCATTCTAATTTCTGTACACTCTTGCTAATTAGGCTATTCCTACTAAGTCAGGGGTGTCCAACCTTTTGGCATCTCTGGGCCACACTGGAGGAAGAAGATCATCTTGGGCCACACATTAAGTACACAAACACTAATGAAAACTGATGAATAAAAAAAAAGGTCTGTTCATAATTTTCATGATATCCACCACCACAGATAAGCAAAAAAGTTCTCACATAATAACCCTAATTATGCATGGGCTTCTCGATGATCTTTTAAAATTATCAAGCAGATCCCAAGTTTCTGATCACTAATATAGGAAATGTACATATCTAAATAATAAAACTTAGTACAGATTTTAGTAATAAAACAAAGTAATGTTTTAAGTAAATTCGTGATTTTATGTTGGGCTGCGCTCACAGCCACCCTGGGCCACATGTGGCCCGCGGACTGTGGGCTGGGTGTCCCTGCACTAAGTAAATATGCTTTTAATTGACAATAAATTTATCTCAGGAAACATATAGTTATTCCCAATTGACTTTATCCTTAAATATCTATTTTTCCCTATGAAACACATTTTAATATGTTTACTTTGATTTTTGCTTCTAGCCACACTCCCCAAAGATATAGCAAAAGATAGATTAGAAGACAAGATGACGAATAGAGATACATGGCATATATATGTATATATATACATGCACACATATATATATTATCTTAATTTTCATTAGAAAAAATAGGAAGGATGGAAGTAAAAGTAAAATACCCATACTATCTTTCTCTGTAGATTTGAAAGGATAAAGCAATATTATTATCATGTAAAGTTTAACCCTATTTCTTTGATCCTAATCACATCAAAAATCTTTTATCATACCCAGTCAAATCAGGATACAAATATCAATTTAAAAGGACACTTATATTGTAAACTTTGATAGAACCTTTCTTGATTTTGGCATGCATGTTAGTGGAACTTGAGGTTTCATCAGAAGTAGTTTATTTGATTGCATAGCTATCATGTTTATATTCTGCCTACTGCAAAACATTGTTTGATTATTGTTTCCTATTTAAAAATGAAGAACAATCTAAATTTACTGCAAATAGAAAAACAAGGGGTTGTTGCCATAAAGATTAAAGTGAGGACCATATAATTTACATTATTTAAGAGGAGAGAACAGAAAATTTAACAGAAGAAACTAAAGGAATTTTAGAAAGACGTGAAGACTTTAAACTCTGCATAAATAGAGGGCTTAGAGAACAAGTCCCCATAAAACATAGCAAATGTTCTGTAACTATCTCATGTTATTAAATCAATATTAGCATGGAAAATAAAATTAGATAGATCACCTGATTTTTTATTTTCAAATCAGATAGATCACTTAACTGTATATTATACAGAATTACATTGCATTTTAGTTTTGCTTTAACAAGTTTGTAGGTTTGTAATCTTGGGCAAGTTTTTTAAATTGTTCTGAGCTTTAGTTATCCAATTTGTCAAATTACAGGATTATCTCTTCTAGTTCAAAATTCCTGTGATCACAACATTTTACATACATAGATTTTTTTCTTGGCATTTAAAGCTATTCATAACTTTTACTATTTTAAAAACTAATGTTATGTTATAAGTGGAAATATAAAATAGACAGATTTCTTAAACATTAATTTTTAAAAACATAATATAACCAATAATTTCTTAAAGAGAACCAAAGTTACTTTATTTCTGCAGTCATAACATTGATGTTCCTTGTAGGAAAGAAACTACCTCCTCATATGCTAGCAACTAGTATAGCTTAATCCTTTTGATGATTAATTTGATTACTACTATACTCATCTTTTCACTTAAGGAAGTATTTTACAACTTTTTTTACTTGTGGCTTCTTCCAATATGGATTATTTAGAAGTGTGTTGTGTAATGTCCACACATTTGTACTATTCTAAATATATTTTCTTATTGATTTCTTATTCAATTCTTGTGGCTAGTGAATATGCTCTATATTGTTTCTGTTTTGCTAAATTGTTTGAGACATTTTATTAACGGCTGTATAATCTATCTTCATCAATGTTTCCTGTGCACTTGGAAAAAATGTGTGTTTCACTAATTTTGAGTGTAGTATTTTTATATATCAGTTAAATCAAGTTACATGGTATTGACTTTCTTTTCACTCTTTAAAAAGTTTAACTGGCATATAATATCATATTAACTTTAGGTGTGCAATATAGTAATCTAATATTATACATATTGCAAAATGATGCAATATATACAATAAGTTTTGTATATAACAATAAGCTGATAACAATAAATAAGTTTTGTTAACATCCATCACCATGTATAGTTACAAAATTTTTTCTTATGGTAAGAAACATTTTTTATTGTTTTATTTAAAACATTTTTTATTGTTTTATTTAAAACATTTTTTATTGATTGATTTGAGAGAAAGAAAGGGAGAGAATCATAGATTTGTTGTTCCACTATATATGAGTGTATGAGGGGGTAGAGAAGGAAAGAAAGAGAGAGAGGGGAGAGAAATTTCTTCCCTAAACAAAGACATATGCTAAATGATTTGAGGTGTTACAGTTGCTATTTATTTTATACTATCTTCACTTACATTGCTGAAACACTTTTAGACCTTCTAATGAATGTTCAATTTCATGGTAGTGTTTTGGGGTACATGAGTCACTTGGTGTTCCATTTCAGCTTTCCATTCTGAGTGCCACTTCTCCGCAGGCATCTTACAAGCTCTGAGTGTTCTGATACAGTGGTTTGAAGGGTCTCTGTCACTGATTTACAGGAACTCCATGAAAGTGACACAAAGCAGTAGACTTCTTTAAAATTGTTTTTGTTAGTGCCAATGTTCCCATTTTTGTGTGGGACTCATGCAGATCTCATTTCCATTTGCTGCATTGGCTTATGCCACTTAGCAACACTAGGTCTTCATTGCAGAGCAGAGTGGGATCATTTAATAACAAAACAAGAAGGACATTGAAAAGATCTTAACAATAACATAACATTACAAGGTACTGTTTCTTACCAAAGATGAACTTTTGTCATTGGAATTTTTATTTTTAGAGATGAAGAACTGAGGAACATATGAGGTAAATAACCAGAGTTATTCCTAGAATTAACAGTCTGACCTTGGGTTCGAGGGCCCTTTGTCCACCGTGCTCACCACTATAGCACACTTGCTCTGAAGACACATCTGGCATCACAATTCTGCTCAGAGGCATGGAGTACACTCATGACCTTGTATTTATTCAGAAGTGCTTTGGATGTGGTGGGGAGAAAATGTAATATAGCACTGATGACCTGATGCAAGCAGTTAGTTGTCACTGAAAGTTCGACACAGAGTGTAGACACAGGAATTGACAGCCTTGCAAAGGGCACATGGCCAGGGACTGGGCGTGGCTGTGTAAGAATTTCTTTCTTTGCTATTACCACTTTGCTAACATAACACCATGTGCTTCTTTCTAGAATTTGTATGACTTTTAAATAATAACATGTACTAATTCTCTTGATCAATTATTCTGAGCTTTCCTTTAGAGCCTAAATGTAGTTTTGTAAGTATTTTTCTAACTTATTTCATTAACCCACATCTTTGGATGGGTTGTGATTAATTTAGAGAGTTGTCTTTTTTGTTGTTTTCTTTTTATCTGGGCAAATATTTTTGGTCTTTCAGTGACTTATCACATTTTTTATGCTTAAATAGTATGGAAAATAAAGCTATTTAATTTTATACACAAAGAAAAGCATCTATAGCATGTTTTATGGACATACAGGGTTAGTGAGGGAAAAGGTACAGGGACGCAGTGGTATCAGCCAGAAAGGAGAACAGCAGTGTCATCAGTAGGTCAGTTCCTGGAAAGCTGTGCTGAGTTTCCATGTGTACATGGGTTTGCAAATTAGAGAGGGAAGCATATGATGGAGGAAACAGCAGACGGAGTTGCACAGGGTGGGTGATATACAACCGATTAGAAAGCAAGATTGGAGTTCTCAACCTAGTTTTGTTGCAGAGTAGCTTTGACCCTGGGCAGGTCACCTACCCTCACTGAGATTCATCATTTTATCTCCAAAGGAGGTGAATATGGCTTACTCTTAAGGTCCTTTTTAGCTCTCATGTGGAAAACTATCAAGTCCTTCCACATAGGGTTTCATTTCTGACACTGATTATAATTCAAAAATAGATTTTGAGATATCAAAAAAAAATAGCCAAGGTTTGCAATAACATATTGAGGATATAGTTTTATTAAGGGCCTTTGGGAGCTAACAGACCAAGGTTCTATGCTTGGTTTTGATACAGTTGGTTGGCAAATTTATGCATTTCTCTAGGGATTAGGTTCATTTTCTGTATGTTCCAGTTGGGCTAGAGGTCTTTGAATTTTCTATCATCAGTAATATTCATTATTCTTCTTGGGTTTTTTCCTAGTAAAATAACTCAAGGAAATGATCTAAGTCCTTAAATATATAGTCTCAGTTTCCAAAATATTTCTATGGGAAGTTTTGACAGGGATATATCAGAATGAATCAGTATACAGGTGCTTTTCAAGGGCATTATTCCAAAAAAAACTTTATGTCATTTGAATGATTTCATAAATAAAAAACCTTAGGTAGTTATTTATTTTCTATGGACCTTCATCTACTACGAGGAGTAGAAGAAGCGGCAGAGTAGAGGGTCTGTCTGTGTAGCTCATATCATTTGGACAAAACAGAGAAGTAACACAATTATTAAATGCTCACATATCTGTGACCAATGTGACATGAATTATGAGAGAGCTATTGAAGGCAAAGTGTTTTGACCATTTATCTTTTCCTTTTAAAATATAAAGCACAAACATAAAAGGACCAGAAATACTTTATTTGGTGGAACCATACAAACAAAAGAGTTTTGTTCATATTTTTCATATGTTATCATCATTGTAACTTTAAGCAGATAAGCCTTAACAAGTTTTATTAATAATTAATTATTACTAGTTAATCCTAATTCATTTGTCTAAATTCTAATTATAATAAGTTATCATATTTTAATTTTTATCAAGTAATTTTTATAATGAGATAGAAAGAAACAGTAATATGTAGAAAAGCACTCAGAGAGAAAACATCCAAAAGTATTATTTTAGGAATTAATTTTGATGTCATATTTATATTATGATATGTTGTTAGTGTCCACAGTATACCTGTGTATCAGGTTGGTTGTTGTGAAATTCCTATTTTACACTTTGGGAAACAAGCATAGAACATTTAGTAAATTTGCCAAGGCCACATGTGTGAGGATAATACAGGGAAGAGAATCTATCTCTGATATTTCTCTGATAGTGTCCAGTGCCTAACACAGTGCACTAAGTGCTCAATAAATACTCATTGAAAGAAAGAACGAGTGAATGACTAAATCATTCTGTTCTATGAAATCTAAGAAAAACCGTTGTCTTTTCTCTCTGTTACCTTTACTCACTAACCTGGACAAGCTGGAGGAGCAGATGAGCAATAAACTCTACCCACTGTCCTCCCACAAGTTTACATTGCTACATGAAGGGGCTCTGCAAGATGGTATCACCCGGTCAGTGCTGACGGTACACATTGCTCGGCCCCCCACAAGGAGTGTCATTAGTCTTGGTTCATTGTAATGTTGGCCTTTGTGCTGTGAGCTAGGTCCATCAGCATGTGGCTGAGACCTATAACTTCCACAAAAGTCACTGAAAATCCACTATTAGTAACAGACATGTTACTGATGCCCTTGTCAATGATATTTTAGTAAACCAGTGGTGTAAATCTTGGAATTAAAGGACTTAGTTGCAGTCCTTGGAAATAAATCACCTTGTCTCGTATTGACTCTGGCAACCTTGTCAGAAAGTAAGTATAATGCTAGGAAAAAAAACCCTCAATTTATTTCCTGAGTTAATCTGACATAAGTTGAGTTGCAACTGTAAACATGAAAAGATCACAGTGGCATGACTGTTAGAGCTGATAGGAAAATGTGATAAAGAACACAAGTGTTTATATTACTGGGAGACAAAAGATGGCAAAACCACAATTGTCATTCCCAATGATGTGTCGTCAAGTAAGTTAAAGACTGGTATTTGTTTCATTGGCATTGATAACCAATTACTAAAAAATCAAGTAAGACATATCATGATGTGCTTATGTTTAAAATGTAGTCCTTCAAGTTTGATGACATTCATATTTTTTCTTTTTGAGAAAGAAAATATTTAATTCCATTGAAGGATTATATTAAAGTGAAATAAAAATACTCTTGCATCTGTCACCCAAATTTAGTGACTGATCTGCAATTTCACCCAAGGATATTTTCATTAGGACATACATAGTCTGGAAAAATCTGAAAATTCTACATCTCATTTGCCTATATTTTACACAAATGATTCACCAGACCTGCCTAACTGGGTAGTGTATTTCCACTAGAGTGAATGTATTAATTACAATTCAAGACAAATCTTAAAGATTCATCAGACATTTCTATTCCTTCTTGTCATGTCTGAAGTTCAGAGATATTTTTGAGCTCTAAAAGAGCATCACTAGGAAACTACAACACTCTTTGGTACAACTGTAACCCAGTCTTACACTGTATTCACAACTAAAATAGAAATAGACACAAATAAAATTGAACTATTAAGTATCGACTTATTAGTAAATTGAACTTCCATACCTAAATGATACAAAACAGTAGCTTTTATGTAAGTTCCTGTACTCTTTAAACTTAAGGCATAGTCTGTGTTTTCATTTAAAAATATCTATCTACCTGAATCAGGAATCTGATTTTGTAATTTTGTCAATTACATTTAAAAGACCATTATTAAGTAAACTTCAAATTAATTTGTGAACAACCCTATAGTGAGTGGAAATAGAAAATAATATAAATACCCACACCAGCAACAAACACAAATAGCAGATTCTTGAGCTCCAGACCTTTCAATATGTCTGCTTATTAGTCAGTTCTTTTGCCCACTTTTTTTCTATACCAGGCAGAAGAGTAAAAATATTTTCAAAGAAATTCTCCCAATTTTTAAATTTCAGTTGCCTGTCCCACTGTGGACAAATGGAAGTTCTTAAAGTCCGTATAATGGTCATGCATGTCTGCCTATTGTCCTTGTTGCTTCTGTCCTGGAGAACTTGGTGGGCCAGAGCTCTCTCCAGGGCGCTGTGCAGGAGTGAACGGAAACTGAAATCCATAGCCATTGTAACCATTCAAGTAGACACATTGGAAGAAACTGATGGGGCCTAAGGAAGAGAGCATGATAATTTATTAAAACAAGCACAACAAAGGTGAAGCACAGCCAGGCAGTATAGTACAATTCATGCAGACATGGGTTCTATAGCCAGATGGCCTTGGAAATGACTGGCACGTTACTAAACCTCTTTGTGTCTTGGATTCCTCATGTGTAAAACTGAGACATCAACAAAAACCTCAAAGAAATATAGAAATTAATAAGTAAATATACATACAGCACTTGAAATACTTCCTGAAACATAAGAAGCCCTTACTAAATGCTAATAAAAATGGTCTAGCATAAAAAATCAAAGTACTTTATAGAAATCTATTGATGTTATACAGCATTCAGAAAAACTCATATAGTCACAGGTTTCAAAACTCGAGTTTATCAATATACAAAGTAACCAACTATTTTTTAGTGTTTTAATAATACCATGGAGAGCCTTGTCATTCCTAAAATTTTGAGATTTTCCACTTGCCCTTACTCTGGAGGCAGTTGCTCTCCTGGGATGAAGTAGTTACTCATTAAATCAATGTCTGCAGGTAGCAGCTCTGGCCTAAAGGCAGAGGGCAGCACAGGAAAGGAATGAGAGCCCAGTGAGGCAGTGTGCACAGTGGGTACACACGTGAGCGCCAGGCCCAGGAAGCTGGTGCTCCCAGGTAGCAGCTCTTTTCAGAGATGACGAGTTTAGCCTCTCTTCACAATCATGGGTACCTCCTGTCTCTTCAGTATCTTCCTCCTGTTCATTTGCATTCTGCCAACCAACCACAGACCTTTTGCAGGTCGGCAGGAAAAAGATGACAACTGAAGCTAGTAGTGTGGGGAATACGTGGAAGCTGGCCAAATAAAAGAAATATAGACTAAAGAAATGCATGGGTAGGGAGAAGCTAAGGGAAGCAGCAAGAAATCATTCTGATTTTATCATTCTGGATGAAAGCTGACTTTAATTATTTAATCTCTGGGTTTTCAATGGTGAAAACACAATGGTTTGGAGAAATCTTGAAAGAAAAAAAATTCTTCTTTTCACTTCTCCTCATGCAGAAGCATTTCCCATTTTGTTCTAGCACCAAACAGATGTAGTGATACAACTCGCCCCCACCACCAAGGTTGTGGCAGCTTGTGGGGTAGACAGGCTACCTAGAGGGAGGGCAATACAGCTAGACATGTATTAAGGAGAAATAGGAGCACCCTCACTAAAAGGAGAAGAGTTCATCCAAGACAAGCTACCTTCTAGCTGAACCTTGTCAGAGATTGGTTCTGTTCTGACACATTTATTTAATTGATGTTGAATAGGCCATTAATAAAAAATATCACTATATCTGCAAATTTTAGAACTTATATAAAAGGCACATGGATATCAGGCTATGGGACTATTTTATAGCAAGATGAAAATAGAAAATATTATTTTACTATGTATAAGTCTGCTCTTTACTAAAAACATTGAATTGTTTGTTTTTAATTAAACTTTTTATTTTGAGATCACTGAAGAATCACATACAATTACAACAAATAATGCAGAGGAAACCCATGTGTCCCTCAGCCAGTTTCCCCCCAATGGAAACATCTTTGCAAAATCATAATGCAATATCCCAACCATGAAATTGACATAGATATCATCTAACTATCTTACTAAATTATGCTTTAATACTTACAAGAGGGGAACTCCAAGAAACAGAACTTATTTATTAAAACATTGTGTATTTATTCTTATATATTTAAACTTCAGCCACTTCAAAGCACTCCCCATTTGATGCAATACATCTATTGAGACATTTCTTCCACTGCTCAAAACAGTTTTTGAACTTGTTGATTTTGATGCCTTTTAGTGCTTCTGCTGTTTTATATTTTTGCTTTACCTCTTCCACATTGGCAAAACATTTCCCTTTGAGGTCTTTTTCAACCAGAGAAACAAACAAAAATGTTGCTCGGGCAAGATCTGGTGAATAGGGAGGGTAGGCAGGGGAGTTTTGCCATTTTGGGTTGAAAACTGCTGAACACTCAGTGCGGTGTGGGCAGGTGCACTCGAAAATCACCCCTCATGAAATGATCAAATGTGTTGAAAGAGAGACTTCAAAACATCTCACTGACACTGAATGCAGCCTCTCACAATGCGAGCTGGTGCACTGATACAGATGGGCTCCTAGAACACTCACCTAGTGCAGGAAGCCTATACCACAAGGGGCCTTCTGTCCTAAGATAATTCTGTTTTCTTTTGGGTACCCCTCGTATTTATGAAATACATTTTAAGTGTTTATGTGAGATAATCACAAATTATTACCAGTAGGTAAACAATGGGGGAAGTGTTGCTGTATAAATCAGAAACATGCCTAGATCAACTTTGTGTATTTTGCAACAATATCTAAAAGTGTTAAGACTGATTGTTTTCCTATATTTCTCACGACTCAGTAATTTGAATGGTTATAATAAGTATTTCTAATATCTAAACAGAGCTTGGGGCATAGTAGGCACTTAACATTTATTCAACAAATCACATACTATGTAGAGTAGAAGGCATTTGTTAATGTAGAAGACATTTTTGTAATTTCCCACAGAAACACCTTCAAGAAGCTTTGTAGAACCCAGAGAACAGTGACATCATTTCCTAAGATAAATGTCTATTCTTTACTTTAAAACATTATGTAAAACAAGCTCTAATTATACCTATTTTTAAAATTAATTCTTTTATTCTGCCTGTCCAGCAACAATTTTAATGCATATGTGAATTGAAAATTGGTATTCAGATGACATTGCTTTACCATCTGAAGCAAAATGTCTAATTTGGAAGTAGTGGAATAATGAGAATCTTGGATACTAAATTTTGTAATTGCATGTGAATATTGATTGCATTACAAAATCAACGATCCCCAAAATGGAATATTAAGAGCCTACCATATATCTAAAGAAATCAAAAAGAACTTTCAATTGATGACCTAGACCTATTATTTTCTTTTTGATGTACAAAAAGTTCAGCATATCACTTTGACTGACTTTTTTATAAAGTGGACTGTAACACACATTTAAGCACAGATTCAGCGGAAGTACTCAGGATAAGAGCTGTGTAGAATGGTTTACAGGAAATGCCACACAAGTCATTACTTTTTAATTCCTCCAAATTTGTGCCTCTTGCCTGACTCAAAAGGTGATGACCTTCTCTTTGAAATATAGATGACCCATTTTTATTCTTCATGCTCTTCTTCAGGTCTGTGCTAAAAATCTTTTTATTCTAATACTTTTCTTCAGAGAGTTTTCAGTTTCAATTTATATTTACCATCTTTAATATAGATTCATTTAAAAGTTTTAATCTAATTGTAAACTTACTTTTTTGCTTCTTTGTGGAAGACACATCTTCAGCTTCTTCTAGTGGATCAAAAATATGAAAGAATGTGACTTTTACATTTACAGCTATTACATAACAAATATGTAGGGGACTGTAAATATCTCAGCAGTACAAAAAGGCACAGGAACTACTTGCCCTTCTTACAGTATACTTTAGATTCTCACTCAGACTATGTTCAGCCTTGTACTATGGACTTTGATGGCTAAGAGGCAGTGATAGAAGAGGAGCCAATGAAAGAAAAGTGTAGCATGCTACAGGCAACTGTTCAAATAGGAAACTGTTACTGATATGTTGGATACTGGTGGGTGAGAGCTATAGACCTCTTTTCTTTCTTAAAACACAGCTTTGATGTTCAGAGTTGTAATGTGGTAAGTGTAGAATCTGGTTGTAAAATGATCACTTTAGTCAAAATAATTCTAGATTTGGGAAGCCACGCATTTTCAGTGATTACCCTCACCATGAAAAAAATAACAATAGCAGGCTGGAATTCTGAATCCTTTCCTTTTCTTATCTGAAGCAAGGGCTCTGTTTGCTGTTGTGATATGTACCATGTGTTTATCTAGTGGTGGATAATTTTTCTCCTGGTTAGAGGTTCTTAGATGGTCTCCTTGGCTTTGCGGGTGGGGTTCCTGTAAAATCCGAAATGTTCAGATGTGAGTATGTGTGTGTATGTGTTTCATCTAAAGTTAGGTGTTGAGGACTGCCCTGCCTGGTCTCAGGAAGCTATAACCCCCATGACTTAGGCTGAGTGAAAGACCTCTGGACCAGAAGCCACTAAAGAGACACAACTTATTTCCCTGGCATGAATGCTGCCTGTTCTAATGCCTGGCTCTCATTGCATGATTGGCAGTCAATGACGGGTAACAATTTTCTAAGAGAATGAATCTAAGACAGACACGATCATGTGGGAATGCCCTAAGGAGAGAGACTCAGGGCTGTGGATATGAAGGGGTGACTGACATCAACCCCTGCCCCCTAGGCTTTGTCAAAGCCTGAGTCCTTGTGAGAAATCCAAGATCTCCTGGCTGCCTTTGTCTTCTCTGTTAACTCAGGCCTGCGGAAATAGCAGGAGCGGTGCAGCCCAGATCAGAAACAGCAAACCCCTGGGGTAATTAGGCCTGGGACATAGAATATGCAAGATCCTATGAGATCTGTTTGCTGGAGAATGTTATTAGATTAGAATCTAAAGGCATAGACAGTAAACCAAAACTGCCCTTTGAGTTCTGTTACTCCTTTCAAATGTTAAAACCCCAAACCTCTTCTCAGAATCACAGAGGGGGTTCTGCCTGCACCTTTGTAAGTCACCTACTTCTTTTGATCTTTTCTGCCAGACTGTGAATCCACAAACTAAGTCTGTATTCTCAATAAAAATCATCTTTGGGAATGGATATGGCATGCTCTCCACTAGAGAGAGTGGCCCTGCTCTCCCTATTTCCCCACAGGACCTGGTTGTGTCTGTGTATGTTTTTCTTGTATTTCGACAAGCATCTGTAGCAAAGATGGATACTGCTGGCCGGTATCTGCCACAGTTAGGTTTTATATTTTATCAAATTCTAAATGAGTTTAAGAACCTTTCTTCTCAAAGTGTGATCCGTGTACCAGTAGTTTCACCATTATTTGGGAAATTGATACAAATGTAGTTCTTACATACCAACTCAGACTTACTTCATTTTAAAAAGACTGTGAGGTCATTCATGTATAAAATAATTTGAAAAGCAGTGGTTTAGAAGTCAAAAACATATTAAGAGTTGTTTTTCTTAATAATTCAATTGCTTAAAATATTTAAAAGTCAGTACTCAATAATTTGTCTTAAGACAAGTATAAATTATTTTTCAAAAGACTCAGGTACTCAGGTACCTTGTGTCTTTTCTCAAAGAACTATTTTCTACACTGTTAATTAATTCTGGGCACTGCCACAGAATTTACATTTTCATGGCAAGAACAACTCTTAGGCAAACTTTTATTATCTACAGGCAAGTTGAGAAGTAGAATAGAAAATATGTGTTATATAACAAGCCAAACTAGGAAGTCAGGGAAATCTTGATGGGAGAACAATGCATCAGATTAGTTGAAACCTTTGCAATAAAGATAAAGAAATTTAGTCCTGGAAAGACTCACTCAAGATCATGCATCTCATTGTATAAGATTTTTCTGAGGTTTGAGGCTTTCTTCCTTTCACTTCCTCCTTTCATTCCTTCCTTTCCTCTTTTCGTTATTATATTGCTGTTAATATAGTCAAGTTATCTTAATTTTTCTTAATAAAAATATGTCAAACTCATATTTGAACATTTATGTGCTTCTCCTGCTGTCAAATAATATCCTCCTAATCCTTGGTGATATAATCATTTTGAAATATTGTTCTTGCAAGCAGATTGGTGAATCAATGCTTCTAATAATTACTTGTAAATAAATCAATGTACAGCTAGTAACTTCAATATATGCAGATACATACACACAGACAATGGAAAAAGCTGTTTGTTTAAAAAAGGTCTATCACATAGACATTGCTTAGGTAAAGGTAAGTGCTAGGTCAAGAATACTAAAATAAAACAGGCAGTTGAAATATGGTCTTGAGGAAAAAATTCATAAGTGAACTTAAGATAATAAGCTTACCTTTAGCATTCTTTGAAGCTGGAACATCTTCAAAATCTTCTAGAGAGTAAAAAAAAGTCTATTTTTCAGATTTCTCAAGAGAAAGTATAGTATTTAATGGATTTTAAGAGTCACAGGATCTATTAACTTGTAAAATCAGCATCTAGTGCCTCCACAAACAAGAACCTCCAGAGACTAAGGACACGTCTCTGATTCAGAGCAGGGGGAGGAATGAATGCCATGCCAGGACTATGGCTAGCAGGCTGGCAATGGGTGGCTAAAACAAGGAGGGCCTGCAGTGGCCTTCCCAAAAGTCCCCCTCTTCCTTCGACTCCTAAGTCTCCTCTTCAAAACCACTATCACTTTTGGAATTTGAAGAATTTGAGGTAAATGGATTCTTGTACACAATGTAGGGCAAGAGGGGAATATCCATTGACATACTTCATTAATAGACCAATATTTGACAATTGCAAAGACAATTAAAAGACATTAAAAGATGAACTAAAGTTTAAATATAGAAACAATGACCCTTAAGATGCACTATGTACATTGCTTGGTCTCTTGTGAATTCTACTTAAAAGTACATTGTTGAATAATGTGAAAGTAATTATAAGTCAGAGATAATTCTAACACAATATATAATTAAATGATCTTTAAATCTTTATATCAACTTTTTAGCATTCTGGAAAAGAGTCAGTTTTACATTATTTATTCATATTTTACATTCCAGCTGTTCACAAATAAACAGAAAAGAGGTAAAATAGGTCAGTATGCAAATTTTCTCAAATAAGAAAGAAAGGTGATCTTTAAGAAGAGATATTATTATGTGAAAGAAAAACTGGAAAGTAGAAACAAAATTACTATCCTTTTTTTTCCTACAGTGAATTATTAAAGTTTTAACCTGATTAGTTTTCTAATTGATTTAAATATAGACATAACTCAGTTAAACACTGGATTAAATGACCATGGTTTTAAACTGTCCAATAAACAGCTATAAATAAAGGTAGAGTATAAATGGTTACATGGTATTTTGAAGTAACTAGTATATATATATATATATATATATATATATATATATATATATATAATCATGTGAGAGTTGTAGGTAAATCAATTAAAATATTTTAAGTGTGTAATAAGAATCTGGTAATGTCTGTGGGAGATGTTGACAAAATTAAAATGATACAGGCCTTTGCACAGAAAAATATGCATTTTATTTTATAATCTATTTTGTAGATTATAGCACACTTAAAACTAAGACACCCATTCTCTGGATCTATTTGTTATCCCTGGGGAAATAAATATGGGTAGAATAAAAGCCTTAGCTTCCTTTTCCTCCAAATTCTAGTTTTACAGTCAAACTGAAAATTAACTTAAAGTTTTCCTGTAATTTATTCATTTAAGGAATAGCTACTTTTCAGCTATAATAATTACAATGAGCTCTCTTTCTGTGCCGTGTAGTCTTTTAGGTGTTTCACATGTTTTCACTCAAGACTCACAATAAACCTATTAAACAGGCAGAATAATCTCCATTTTACCAGAGAAGCTTGAGGTTAAAGAAATTGAAAAAGAATTTCCCTTCAAGCAATACATTTTAAAAAGTGTTAGAAGAAGATAGAAAGCTAATTTTCCTCAACTTCTAGACCCTTGTGATTTTAACTAAACTAGTCTATCTCCACATGCAAAGAAGCACTTTGCCATGTGCCCTGAAAGAACCACAAAGAAACCCATGCTACCAGGAAGTCGTTGGCAGTCAAGTGGAGAAACTGGACATGTGCTCACACAGATATAAGACACTACAGACGTCAAGGTGGTATGTTCCAGTTGTCAGAATAAATGAGAAATGTTTCCAGCGTGGAATGGTCACTTCCTCCTATGGAGATCAAAGATTGTTTGTTTGTTTGTTTGTTTGTTTGTTTGTTTGTTTTGGAATCTTTACCACTGGCAATGGACTTTGAAGGTTCATTTACAATGGGGTGGGAAGAATATTCCAGCCAAGGAGAATGTCAAAACCAAAGTTTTGGATGAGAAATGCTAGGAACATGGAAATAATTTGGGTTGAAACCTGTGATAGGTATAAAAAATGATTATAGAAAAATATTTAAAATGTAGTTTAAGCCTGAATCATAGGGATAGAGTCTCTAGACCCCCAGGTTAAGAAATGTAGAATTTATTCTAAATTTGCCATGAATAATTATTGAACATTTGTTATATAAATGGCCTAATCAATTGGAAATATTGGAAAACTTTGTCTATCAATAGAAAAGGAAGAATGAGAGAAATCACTGAGAAGGCAGGTTAGATTTAAGAATAGTTTGAGGTCTTATCCACAGAGAGGTAGCCAGCAAGTTTGGATGACTCAGACAAGGAAGAGTGCAGAATAGTAGGAAAGAAAGCTGAGAATGCAAGGGCTGTCTCTGGGGAAAAATGTGCAGCAGAATCCCAATACTAAAAAACAAAATAAAATAGAAAGTTCAGTATTATCAGAGCCAGGAGAGGAAAATATTTCAAAACTGGTGGTAGACCAACAATGTTGATTACAGCCAAGTGGCTGAGAATGGAGGATAATTAAGAAAAGGTAATTAAGCTTTGCATGTTAGAGGTCTTCACTGAGTTTGAAGCACATACCTTATTTGAGGAAAATGTCAGGGTGTAATATTGAAGTTGCATATAGTTAAAGCCCAAAGAGGTGGTGAAGAATTTGTGCAAACCTTTTTTCAGAACTGTGATTATAAATGAAAGCAGAGCAAAAGCAGAACAGATTCAGTAAGCAAACGAGTAAGAATTTTACATGAGAAAGTAGGCAAAGGGAGGAGGATTTCTGCGAGTAAGACCTGAAGATACATGATTGAGGAGCAAGGATTAAGGGAGGTATGAAGGGATAGAGTCAAAGAGGATATGATTTTCTAAGAAGCACTAGTATTCTTAGAAAATCTCGGGAGGGTAGTGTTAGGTAAAATAAGGATAAAGATGAAAAGAACTTGTAATTTGGAAAGAAGGAGCATTTTAAAGAATCCACATTGATGGCATAGATTGTTAATTTTATTTTTCTCATTTTTAAGATAAAATGTTCTGTGTAGCATCTAGTCTGCTCTGCATATTCTTAGCAAACATGATAAATAAATAAAAACTTCCTAAATAATGCATGAAGGTACTGTACCAGAAGTTGCTGTACATTTAAGTCCATTAGCAACCTATTCTGATTTGTGCAGAGTTTCAAGAAACACTCAGGTAAACATCTGGAGTTCTTATGCACAGATACAAAGGTAAAGTATGGATTTTTGTATTCTTTGTTATTCCTCTTTCTTTATCTAATTCTCTGCACCACTTTGTCTTTGCAGAAATACCAACAACTCCAAATTATTTTCTCAACTGATTGCTGGATTATGTGTAAATACTATGATGAGATATTGCACTCTAAAAGTTTGTTTTTATTTTTCATGAAGTCCTGGGGATTCGCAGTAGTTCAAAGCAACAGCTGACAGCCACTTTATTTTAGTTCTCAGGTGTGAAAGTCTTCTATACATGCTGGTATTTAACATAGTCATGAATTTTAAAGAAAATTAACTGGTACACTGAGCACTAGTCACAGAATTCTTGAAATACTGTGAATAATAAAGTTTGTAGAGACAGTTTACATTGGAATTTTGCTCACAGTGAAGCCAGTGATATTCAACAAATATGTGCCTGTCCCGTCACTCTGCGGATAAGACACCACTGTCTTAAGGGCAATGTCAGAGCAACTTAACATCACCAGTAAATGAATGAGGACACATTGCTGGTTTCCAAAGACTAATAATCAGTAGTGACCAACTTTCCACCTAATGCACCTTCTACACAGACTTTCTCTAGGTGCTAGCAAAGGGAGTGATCAGAAGGGGTTTTATTCAACAGATTTCAGTCAAAAGTAACTGCTTCATTTTATTTTCTTCTGTAACAAAATCTCCATGATTTATTCACTCTTAATTCAAAAAGTAGGAGGGTTTTAAGTCTACCTTAAAATAAATGAGATGTTCTTATTATGATTTTATCTTATGATTTTATTTATTTTGACGCAAAAGCTTAATAAGAAAAACATGTTCTTAACTAGGGAAGTAACCCAGTATTATGCCATAATCATCACTATCACCATCACTATCATTATCATCATTATTCTCACAAGTGCCAATTAATAATCACTAATTATGCACAAATCATTATTTATGCACATTTTACCTTACTTAACCTACCCCAAATTTCTTTTTTAAATATTTTATTTATATATTTGTTTTAGAGACAGTGGAAAGGAAGGAGGGAGGGAAACATGTGGGAGAGAAACATAAATCAGTTGGCTCTTGCACACCCCCGACTGGGGACCTGGCTCACAACCTAGGCATGCGCTCTCACTGGGAATCAAACTGGTGACTTTTCAGTCTGCAGGCCAGCGCTCCATCCACTGAGCCACAGAGCCAGGGCTGCCCCCAATTTTTTATTATTATTACCCACTTTGAAAAAATAAGGCTACTAAGCATAGAAATGTTTAGTAAAATCCCAAGTTTATACAGCTTTTAAGTCATGATTAGAACCCAACCTTCTGAAGTCAGTGTACCTATCTGATGCTACCCTATAATATCTTTGGTGTGTCTATTATTAATTTGGTGCCAATTTGTTTTTAATAAAAACTACAGTGTTAGTATTCATCAACATTCTCTTCTAGCAAGTGATCTTCACCAATATTCCACCCCAGCAAAGAACCTCCAACAAAACAAACAAAATCAGACATTTTAAAAAACAATTATTGGTATATGTATCTCCTGAAATCACATTTAATTGGTACACTACAGAAAGACACATTTTCCTTTTTTGAATGTTTATGCATATATGTGTTAACTGAGAAGGGTTTTGTTCTAAAGAAGGTTAAATTTGGGATTCTATTATGAAAGACTGCCTAAAGTTTTAATAACAAATGTAGGTTGATACAATTGCCTGGAAGTAGGACATCAGAGAGTTTACTTTTTCACTTACAAAGGAAACTATGAACCTTGGTTAAGATAAGACTTGTGGGTAGCATTACAAAATCA